TAGTATGTATGTTCTTGTCCTTGTGACTGAAACTCAAGTGTGTGTGCGTGTGTATGTGTGTGTGTGGCGCAAGTGTCTTCGTGTGTGCGTGCGTGGTGCAGGTGCTGTGGTGTGTTTAGAATTAGCATTTGAGGGCTAGGATAATGTCGACGACTCACGAGAATGATCCTGAATGGTTCGCCTGTGTGCGAAGGAGCGCTCTTGCCAGTGTCATGGGTGAAAATTATAGTGTGCATAGATGATTCAGTGACTACCAACCGCAAAGTGAAAGAGATGAACATTCGTCTCATCCGCAGTCAAGATCGCGTGGACACGAGGGGACCTGGGCACAGAATGCGCGCGTTGCTCAGGCTTCGACGACAGGTCTCTGAGTCCTTGGCTTTCCTGGCCATGGGATCTGAACATAGCCTCGCAGGCCAGTCCAGTCACACTGCAAACGCGTGGGTCTGTCATGCCTTACGTAATGAGGTTTCACAAGCATAGATCCGAAGAGACGCGCATCTTTGCAATGATGTAAAGTTCATAGCCGCAACGCGCAAATAGCCAAAATGCACAACTAACTGTACACAGGCAGTCGAACTATCCTCATGCACCTGAGAAGGAGTCGCCTGCAAGTGACGCAGCCTTGCAAGATAGCTTATTCAGGCGGCATCTCCTGAATTTGGGTTAGCCATCTTTTTGCATTGCGCCAGTGCAACCGGCAACAGGCGATCGATGAGTTGTTGCTTCTCGACCTCCTCAGTGATCGCCGTGGTCAAAGCGGTTACTATGTCCGCTTTGCACTGGAGCTCTCCGTGCGGTCCCGTCAATGTCACGCCAGCAGCCTTAGCCACATCCACAAGGCTCGGGCCACTGTCGCTCATGGTATGCACCTGCAAGAGACATGTCAGGAACAGGTGGACTTCTAGACGATATGTCAGAAGCACATGATGAAAAAGTCCGGCTGTGGCCTCTAGCTTCCACAATCGGATAAAGCATGTTGCAGCACCCCTGGGTTCATCCAGTGGCATCAGTGTGCGGCGTAGAGCAGAGAGAAATGCATCTGCTGGACTCGCCGCGCCGGAGGAGGTCGACATGACTTCAACCGGTCAAGCTGCCTTGAAACCTGCAAGCCTGTGCTACGAAGCTCAACAGCTAGCAGAGTACAGCAGGCATCTCGGCACAATCGCTATCACGGAGACAACCTGACACAAGCGGAACAGCGTGAGCCTGACAAATCGAAGTGAGCAAGTCCCTCGCGCTGGCCTCGTGCGGCAGAAACAGCGTTTCTTGGGCACGGTCAGGGCTGCGTGGAGGGAAGCCACCATGCCATCTTGTCATGCTTCGGCACACATAATTAATAATTAGTAGCACATTTAGCATTACTATTATACTAGTATTCTTAGGTCACTCACTATTATTCTCACGGCCAAGCGCAGCACATGCGTTCACCGGCAAGGTCAGAACGGAGCACATCATCGACAGAAAACATCTCAGCGCTCGTCCCACGCCCTGGCCTCGTGCAGCAGAAACGGCGTCAAGAAAATTAGGGTTTGTGCAGCCAAATTGAACACACCACGACAGCTCCAGCCTGACAGACCGGAGCGAACGTTTCGCTCGTGCTGACCTGGAGGGGTCCACTGCAATACTATTGCATTTCTAGCATTACTACCCTCATCAGGCGCTAATATCATTGCTACATTACTATGACTCTCTCTGGAACCGAACGTGCTAGACACCGCAAGCCGTTGCAACTGCTGAAGCCAGCTGTGCAGCAAAATTGAGCACGGCGCCACAGCCCGAGCCTGACAGACCGGAGCGAACATCTCTCAGACAAATCATCGCACGTTAACACACATCCAAGCGGCCAGTGAACGAGCCTCCTGTTAGTGCGGCGTCTCGAAGTACATGTTCCTTGGTATGGGCCAATGTCAAAAGAAAGGTCAGTAAAGGAACACACACAGTCGCACAAGCACTCGGACATGCTGCGACGATCGAAGCGACACGGTCACTAAAAACACGGTCACCGGAGAACTTAGACTTACCCCGTGTTACGCAATTTTGCTGCTGCTGAAAATTACACGGTCGCTGGGGAACCAAGACACGAACCGCATCGCTCCATGCTGCTCGTATTTTACAGACAAACGAGGACAAATGGTGGTCGAAAATGCGTGATCATCGGGGCACGGAAACAGGAACCGCACCGCTCGATGCTGCTTATGTTGCTTTAAAAGCCCTGAGGAACGCCAACCAAAATTGCGCGGTCGCTGGGACCCAGACACGAACCACATCGCCCCATGCTGCTCAGATTCTATAGACAAACGAGGACAAACGGCGGCCGAAATTGCGCGATCACCGGGGAACTTAAACAGGAGCCGCGCCGCTCGATGCTTCTTGTGTAGCTCGAAAAACCACAACGAACGCCGAGCAAAATTACACGGTCGCTGGGGAACCCTGACACGAACCACACCGCTCAGTGCTGCTTATGTTTATGGAGAAACGAGGACGAACGACGGCTAAACTTGCATGAAGACAACACAGTCACCGAGGAACGTCAAGCAAGAAACCGACATTTGAATTTTACATGTGGGTTTGTGCATACACAACACATCTTCTCGCTGGTGTTGACATCAGCCTTCTTCGAACTTGCGTTGTCAAGGTTTCTGAGGGCAGTACCGTTCTTCTCCGTGAGTTGCAAGTGCCTGCGAAACATGTGACACGATAGCGTGCGTCTAACACAGTAAATTCCACTCTCGCCAATATTTCGCCGGACCAGCATGGCATGCACATCTACTGCACTCCGTAATGTGAATCTGACGGTCTGCTGCGCCAAAACGACATTTATTGCTTGCGTGAGCTCGCGCTGCGCAGCAGGCGCGCAACGTCGACAAAGAACGTCTCAGCTTCACTCGCCGACGCAAATGCAAAAAATAAGTCCCCGCTGCCGCTCCGGCGGAAAATCTGTGAGACGCGAGCTAGGCGCGGGTCTGGCCGCTGACCGTCAGATCTACGCGCACTCTTCTTCCCAGAATACGCGAAAGTCTTCATGAAGGTAACTGGAAGAGCGCCTTGCCCAATCAATACCTCTCATGCGCATCGAGGAGCACTGGGGATCAACATTCAAGACTCGCACGCAGTACCGCGCGCAAGCCACGCACTGCTTCTCGCAGCTGTACAAGAAGAAGTACTCGTTCAGCTTGTTGGGAGCGCACTTCCTGTAGTGGTTTCTCAAAGCCGCATTTGACATGTGCGGCCAAGCCGCACAGTGTTGGAAGCTCGGCGGTGGATTTGGAGGAGCAGCTCCGGCTGCGCCACTTGCATCTCTCGGAGCAGAGCCATTGTTCGAGTCGGCAGCGGCTCGAGTTGCATCCTCCTGGCACAAGCAACTTGATTTCATCTTCCAAGCATGAACTCGTGTAGGGCATCGTCAGAAACCATCTCAGCCTCTTGAATGCAACCCAACCTCAAACAAAACGATAATATAAACTCTATAAACAAATACACAAAAATGCCCAGTTCCTGCGCAAACCATCTCATATAGGCCTCCCGTGCACGCTCCTCCGCCCTTGCGTTCCGATCTTGCTCTTCTCCGGGCTTCATGATTATATATATTCACTAGTTTCCATTTCATTTTCCATTTGATTCTCCACTATACCCCAATATCATCCCAATGTTGGGCCCCAAAACCCTGCTTGCCTGGGTTCCTGAAGGACTCCAACTAATTTGATGTTTTTTATCGGACCTTTTCTCTCAGCAGGCTCCCAAGAGATGCCATTCAGGCACAGTCCTTTGACAGGTCAGCCCCTTCACCAGCGCATCCACAGCAGGAGTGGCTCCAGCACACAAGAGCAGACATGGTGCGCAGGCCAAAACCTGGGGAAGATTCTACAGCGCTCCCAAAGCAAGGCTGCAAAGGCACTGGAAATCAAACCTCCCTCAGTTCAAAACCCGGGGGAAAGCCCTATCACTCTTTAGAGTAGCCAATGTGGCAGGCTTGTTTGACGACTCCCTGACAGGACTCCCGAACTATTCCCTGCTTCAGCAGGTCTCGTGCTGGCGGCAGCCGGCCCCTCCGTTGACATTGTCGAACTGGCCGCCGGATCACTACCTCCCTCAGGTGCCACGCTGCCGACCACATTCCCGGGCTCTTCCATCCCTGTCTCGAGCTGCGTTGCCGGGAAGCTGTCGTCCTCCGCTACCGCGCCAGCATTTCCTCCAATCTCGCGCGGGTCGCTCTCGTTCTCCATTCCATCGAAACATCCCTGGTCCCACAACCGTCTGCTGTAGAAGCGTCCAAGCACCCCATACCCGAATCTCTGCCCAACCAATCTATCCGTCACCGTGCCCTGCTTCCAGTACTCATAGAACCTGGTCGCCAGCGGTGTTTGCATGAAGTCATTCACATTGGCCACTGACGTCTTTGCCTCGTCCCACATGTCGGGTGGCTTCTCTCCTGTCACCAGCAGCGTGCTCCTTGCTTCCTCTTCGGCCGTGTTCCCTGGTGCTTCCCCCTGTGCATCATCTGGAGCTGGTGCCTCTCCAGCTGCCGAGGATGTAGCCGTCGGATCTCTTTCCATTTCCTCCTCATCCTGGACGACGCTGACCGAGTAGCTAAGTCGCTCTCCAGGTCCCAGCCCCACTAGCCAGTTCTCCTGCTTGATGATTCTTCCACCTTGGCCCTGGACCAGAACTTGTACCCTGGCCCTCTTCTTCCGCCCTCGCAGGAAGTCCTCACTACTTGCCGCCCAATCTTCCCACGTCCGGAGCTCCGCCGCATGGAAGTCCCTCCACATCAGCTGCTCTTCCTTTCTCAGTTCTTCAGCTGCTATTTCCTCCCTGAGCTCATTCTCCAGCAGTTCTTGCTCTTCTTGTTCCGTAAGGTCACGTTGCGTTCCATCTTCCAGTTGCACCACTTGCTTTTTGGATCCGCCCTCCTCAACTGGCTCCTGACTGTCTATGACCTCGATGCTGTCTGGTTGGGCAGAGCTCGGCCCAGGGACATCTTCCGGCCTGGCACCGCCCGGGGTCTTGGCATCCTCCAGGAAGGGCTGCACGCGCTGCCACATGTCCATGCACCACGAGGTCTCGTCGCCTCTAACAACAGTTTCATCCGCCTCGAAGGCTGTCAGAAGCGCCAACAGGCGATCATGCCTGTCCGCCAGAGTAGGGTTTCTGAGGTGTGGCGCTTGCCTTCTCTGATCTATGAGCATTTGCTGGAGGAAGTGGTACAGCCTGGCTGCCCTTGGTTTGGCCAGGTTCTCCAGTTCGGTCAACAGCTTTTGCAGGATCATTTCGTAGTCTCGGTAAACCCCTTTCTGCATGAGGATCACGTCTTCGCGCTCCTCTATGTGGTCATCTTCCTCCATGACGTCCTGCTCCGCGTCGACCCTTGCCTCTCCCTCTTCCGTTCCCTGACCCTCGTTGTCCTCAGCACCCTCAGTCTCATTCTTGAGCGTTCCTGCTTGCCCTGGCTCTTTTCCTTGGTTCCCGTCTCCTATAGCGGCTGTTTCTGGCTTCTGTGTGTCCAGTGCATGTGGGTCATCCTGGATGGTCTTTGTCACGACGAACAGCCCCATCCAGGACTTCCTTGCCCCACCTTGCCAAGACCATGTCATTGTCGACCTGTCCCGCCTGCCAATTTAAGAACCACCTCCCACCATGCTCCGAACGCAGGAATTTGTCCAAGTCTTCCGGGGCCTCTGCCCTGGCAATCTGGTCCGCCACCTGCATGTCCGGTATCTGGACCGTGTCCGGGGTCGGCGGGCCGATGATGTGCGACTCCCCTGGCTGTCCCAGCAGTGTGTGTGACATGGTCATTGTGACCATTGGGGAGGCTTCGGCTGCCATGGTGCCCTCCAAGGTGCCTTCAGCGACTGTGCTTCCCCAGGACCAACTCCAACTCTCTTGAGAGCCGGCTGTTCATCTCGCTCGTCATGGCCCAGTCCTCCCAGTCCTGCAATCTGCTTGCTTGAAACCTCTGAAGCGCTTCCCTGTCCTCCCTTTCCTGCTGGACCGCTTCTGCCCTGAGCGCAGCGTCGTGCTGCAGGATTTCCTGAACTTCTTCTTGGGTCGGCTTTCCCCATTCCCGGTCCGGTGCTCTTCTAACAAGGATGCCCTCCCGCTCGTCATCATCATCCAGGGCTCCTGCAGCATCTCCGGAGCTACTGGCCCTTTCATGCTGCCCGTTCCCTGCATCCTCTTCCTTGAGAAACGGTGCCACCCTTTCCCATAGCCAGCCCTGCTCCCACTCGAAGCCAGTGGCTCCGCACTCTTTCCCTTCCTGGTACTTGTCCATTCCTACACTGTGTGCCACCAGCAGGGCCGTGAGTCTGAGCTTTCTGTTGAGCAGCCTCTTGCCCTTGCCGTCCACACCAAGCGCGTTCAGGCGCTGCAGTAGCCCCCTGGCCGCATGCATCGCCCTGTCCTTGCCCATGCGGTCGAAGTCCTCCTGCAGCTGGGCCAGTATCTTGGCGAAGCTTCCCGGCCCCAGGCTAAGCGAGTTCTGCATGAGCACCACTCGATCACCGTGTTCCGCCTCGTGTGTGGCACGTAGAAGCTCGGCTATGAAGAGGCCGACGAAGCTGAGGACACTCTGGACATTTCTGGCGCGCTCGATGTCATCCTGCCCCTGCAAGTTGCTGATTATGGTATTTGTAGTATTGGGGCTCAGGACGTTGAGGTGCTCTGTGGAGTTCATTGGATTTGTCAATCCAATGATATCGCACCACCACCTGATGCGAGGATCGAGGTCGTTCAGGCCGGGCACAACTGCCCCTCCCACTTCCACAGGCCTCGCTGCATCCGTCGAAGATCCCGCAGCTTCGTTTTCCGGCTCTTCCACACAGACCTCTTCCTCATCTGCTTCTTGTTCCAAGGCGCAGGAGGGAAGCTCCTCGTTGAGCATGTCCGGGTTCTCGCTGGAGGAGGAGCTCTGGAGGGCGTGCCTCGTACCGTCCATCTTGCCCTGTTGGCTGCGCGTCTCTCGGCTTCAGCCTCTCTGTTTCTTCTCCGTCGCCTCGGTGTTGGTGACCTCCCCCTTTTCCGTCTTTGCATGAGCTCCGTGACCTCGGAGTCCTCATGGCTGGCGTCAGCGGTGCGATTCCCCGCCAGGTTGCCCGCTGCCAGGCTGGAGTTCCTTTCCTTTCGAGCCCACTGCGTGTTGACTTTCTGCTCCCAGCGGCGAGTCTGCCCGTCCCACCGTGCTCTCATGTTCTCCGTCGAGATGGCTACCTGGCCTTCCTTGTACTTCTCGTGGGGGGTCTCCCTGCTCCCAACGTCACCCTCGTCACCGATTTGCGCCTGGGTGGCTTCCTGCTTTGCCATGATGTTCATGCCGGCGACGATCTCATCCCCGCAGGTCAGATCCATCTTGGTGTCGTGCTCCTTGTCATCAGTCTTGGCCACGGACCTTTCCTTGGGCTGATTCTGGCCCTCTAGCGCCTCGCCCTGGTCCCCAAGCGCCTCCCGCTTTAGCACACGCAGGGTGGCATCTTGGCCTCGAGATTGCTGCCCTGGTTGAGGCTCCTTGCTCTGAGTCGTATTGGTCATCTTTCAGCGCCTTCGCGATCTCCCGCGCCTTCGCGATCTCCCTGTGCTGGTCGGCTTGGAGACCTTGTTCCGGTTGTAGGCACACTAGGAGGGCTTGCTCACACTTCCTTTTCCGGACTTGGTCAGCTCTCTTCCACCTTTCTTTCATGTTCCCTTTCGAGCTGGCTGCCTGGCCTTCCCTGTACTTTTCGTGGGGGGTCTCCCTGTTCCCAACATCATCCTCGTCGCCGATTTGCTGTGGGTGGCTTCCTGCTTTTCCACGACGTTCATGTTGGCGACGATCTCATCCGCGCAGATCTTGGCCGCGGACCTCTCCCTGGGTTGATTCAGGTCCCCTAGCGCCTCTCCCTGGTCCCTAAGCGCCTCGCCCTTGAACTCATGTAGGGTGGCATCTTGGACTCGAGACTGCTGCCCTGGCCCCGGCACTCCCCTGTCTGAGTCGTGTTGGTCATCTTTCAGCGCCTTCGCGATCTCCCTGGCCTTGTTCTCGTTGTGGGCACACTAGGAGGTCTTGCTTACCCTTCCTTTTCCGGACCTGGTCGGCTCCCTTTTCCTCCTTCGCTCTGGAGGCCTGTGTCAGGTGGATGTCCTGCTCCTCGTCATCCTTCGGCTCGTTGACGCACTCTTTCCTGGAATGGGCCTGCTTGCTCAACTTCTCTATCCTACACTGACTGGGGGCTGCATCCGGGCCCCGTTGCTTCTGCGCTTGGAGGAGCTCTTTCTTGTCAGCGCCACCGTCCTTCTCTTTCAGCACCTTCGCGCTCTCCCTGGGCAAGTCGGACAAGTCGGCTTGTAGAGTTCGCCCTTTCTGGTGACCCACCAGAGGGTCCCTCTGCATACCTTCCGGTATGGTTTCGTTCCGACTATTTCTTCTTCTCTGCCATGTTTGCATTCCCTGTACACCCTTGCCCTGGTGCTCCAGTGGAACCTGCATCTTGTCGGTCTTGGCTGCATTGTGGGGGCCTGTCAAAATTGTCGACGTCACATCACGTGTTGTCGTTGTGAAGTCGCGTAGGCGGCCTTCTTCTTGGAAGCGGCCGGCCACGCCATACATGTAGATCACGTAGAAGAAAGCAGTTGCCGGCATCAGCGCCATGGCGAGTGAGCGGCTGGGTTGTGGCAATGCAAGAGGGGACGCACTTCGCCACTGGGCCAGTGGTTCATCCGCTCCCATCTTGGCAGTACCCATGCAAATCACTTGCACACTCAGCGCCCTATACACTTTGCCTCATCACTGTCTTACTCCATGTTCGTTAACGCAAGTTGTCTACCCGAGGACCACGCAATTGTGTTCTGCTTGCACCATTCCTGACTGTGGTTAGCCCATGTGCCCCTGTTGAGCGCCACTTCTCTCCATGAGGTTGTGTTGACTGTTCTAGACACCTTCCTTTCACAGTTCATGAGGTGGGGAAAGTGCCTTCCATGTCGCTTGCCTTTGTCTCTCCGTTGTTCCTCCTGCCACCACTGGAGTCCCCTATACCATGATAGCTTGTGAGCAGCGGAACGGAACTCTCTCTCGCAACCCCTCACCCTGTGCCCCGTGAAGTCCCAGTACGCTTCCACGTGCTTGTCTCCCCATCTCATTCCGTCATGTTTGTGGATCATCATTCTGGCTAGTCTAAGTGATCTAGCTTCATAGTCGACCCACAGCTCATCTGCCTGCCTTCCAATCCTCATCATTCTCCTAATGCAGCTGCACTGGAAAAAGTTGAGAATGCCTTGAAGCTGGGGGGTGGGGAAGAGGGCCCCTACAACCCATCGGAAGACCCCGAAGACGACTTTGTTGAGGAGTCTGATTCTGCATCCAATAGCTGCTTTAGTCTGGAGGATGTGCAGAATACCGTAGAACTTCTTGCGAGCCTTATCAACGAGGTGCTCCATTACCCTTGCTTCCGTGGATTCCGGCCCCACCGGCAAATTCATGACGAAAATGACATCATCCTTCTGCTGTGGGAGTAGGGGCATACCGTCCAACATGAGGGGAGTTGCTTTGGAGCCCTTGATACACAGGAGGACACACTTGGTAGGCTGAATGCGAAGACCAAATGCGGCGAGCTTGGGTAGAAGCTTGTCCATGAGTGCCTGCAGGGAGGTTATAGAGGACTTCCACGCGAGCACATCGTCCATAAAACAAGCCCCGTCTACTGGGATCTCTTCCAGAACTGGCCCCATGGATTCTTGCCGGATTTCCGAGAGGATGTCGTCGAGCAGCCTAGCGAAGAGAAGCGGCGACTCAGTGGCCCCCTGCTTGACCCCTACATTGGCGTCGATGGCATGTTCTCCCCAGGGGAGGGACAACACCACCTCTCGGCTCATGAGCATCCGAAGGAGGCACCTAATCTCGAATGGATACCGACCATCTGCCCATTGGATCACTTTCTGCGCGAGACGAAACCTCGACACGGTGTCGAATGCCTTCCGTATATCCAATTTGAGCATGTATGCGTCTTTCTTCCATTCTTTGGCCAAATGGATTACTTGGATCGCTGTCCAGAAGAATTCCGCTGGTTGCCGACCCCGAGCTGCGAACTGCTTATCCCCTCGGACCATGAGCACATCATCGAGCCTAGCCAGGAGGAGCCTCGCAAAGGCCTTACTAACGTGTGAGGCCAGGGCTATAGGCCGCAAATCTTTTGGACACTTTGGAGGCACCACCTTGGGCAGGAGTGTGGTGATGGATTTGTCCCAGTCGGTGGGAGTGTCGCCTGAACTGAGAATGCCAATGAAGAAGTCACACGATAGCCTGGAGCGAGCTGGGATCCTGGGCAAGAGCCTGGAGCAGCTCCATTGGCACGCCATCCGGCCCCACCGACTTACCCCGTTTACCCTTCCCAATGGCCCTTGCAACCTCCTCAGGCGAGAACCCCGCGAACACATCACCATCCCCCAGGGTGCGCACCAGTTCCTCCATTTGCTTCATCTCCTGCTCCGCGTCTTTATCATGGAAGACCGAGTCGAAGTGCTCATGTATTTGTCCTACTGGGTCTTCAGCTTCAGCACTCGCCATGTATTGCTCACCCCATTGTTTTCTGGGCTTCGTAAGTTGATGTTTAGGGTTTAAGGTTTAGGGCTTAGTGCTTAGGGTTTAAGGTTTAGGGAACTACAATGCGGAAAGGACACCCTCCTGCTCATGCGAAGGCTTGGAAGATTCCCGGCGAGGATCGCCACGAGGAAGGAAGATCAGTTCCACCTGAGACGTGTGAGACACTGGGGAGAGAGGGCCGGGGGAGGGGGTGGGCTGACAAACTAACTGAAAGTCTTTGGGTACTAGGACACCCTATCACTTACGATATACCCATATTATGGTAACTTAGCGCAAAATCCTTTACAGCTACCCGATAGAAGCATACGCATAAACAACTCTAACCTCCCCCCGTTCCCCAAAATGCTTACACAGTTAGCGTTTACTGTTTAGGGTGTTAGGGTTTGGATTATAGGTCCTTACCCTAAGCCCTAAACCCCTCACACGAATGCAACCTCAGTTCCCATGTCCTTTTCCAATCTCTTTTCCATTTGATTCTTAATTCTGGGGTAATGTCCCTAAAGCCGACAGGATCGCGGTATAGCCCCTATATAAAACTTAAATAGTCTCCATATAATCCCTGAAATAATCCATGTCAAAACCCCTAAAATATCACTCAAGCTTATACATGCCCTGTTTGAGTATATACCCCTAATATAATCCCTACCAAAACCTCTCTTTCTAGATGGCGCCACAGACCATGTTATTGCAGCAAGGCGCATCAGGAGCCGGAGGGGGCGGTCCATCCCCCCAAACCTCAGATTCTGAAGCTAGCTGGGCTTAGGATTTACAGCACGGTTCAGGGTAGGGTGTAGGGTCGGGTTTGGGTATCTGGGGCGTGTCAAACTTGGAGGTTCATGGGACTTAGTAACTATTTATAGCTGGGGTTATAACCCTACGCATAATTGGGGTAACCTCTATAAGGTCATCTTTGGGGGTTCTAGGTAGGGTTATAAGCCCAGTTATAAATAGTTACCATTTCCCATGAGCCTCCAAGAAACATACGCCCTAACTCTAAACCGAAGCATACGAAAATGTCCCAGATATTTGGGCTTTTCGGAAAAGCCAAGAAATCTGCAGAGATTCGTAGGAACGTCAACAAAAAACTCCAATACAATCCCCAAAACCCAAACACTAAACCCTAATCCTCAAACGAGGCCCCTGTAATCCTTTCCTTTTCCTTATATGCATCTAGGGTCTACCATGGTCGCAATCCCAGACAAGAAGCGTTTGTTGGCTTTTCGGTCTCACCTGAGATTTCACTCTGATTACAAATTCTCTGGGGGAGGAGGGATGGTCCAAGGGGGGAAGGGTTTAGGGTTCAGGAGGTACATCCGTAAACCCTAAACCCTAAACCGCGGGGAGAATTTGGAGAGCAGTTCCTTGACATCAGGACTACACCATTCCAGAGTGTTGGGGGCAGGGGGACCCTATCTTTCGAATAGACTCGAGGTCAGCCACGTGATGCTCAGGTATTCTTTCGGATAGTCGTTGTTGCGGGAATTAGCTATCATATGATTAGAAAAGGATCCTAAGTTCAGGGGCTGAGCAACTACAGCCTCCTAAACCCTTAAACCGTAAACACTAATCCTGCAACCCCAAACCCCAATTTCAGAACCCTAGCAGTTTAGGATTACAGACTGCCTGCTTCTTGAAATCACGCTAAGTTTTAGGATCTCAGGTGATGAAACCCTGAACCCCTCAGGTTTTGGATTTAGGGCGATGAATGTCCGTTCCAAAGCTTAGTTACCAGGTCTTTGTCTCAGACCTCCAAATTGGTAGGCGCCAAACCAGGGTCATGCAATTCTTGCTGGTTCTTGGTAGGGAATGAGGGAATAATATGTATATATGTATATATAATGTTATATCCTACTGACCACCAGTAAGAATC